AAAATTTATCACCAATATAATGATTTTGACGATGCAACGTTGCCATTGCAAAATGGCTGACGCGGCCTTGATTAGTCAATTTCTTCTCTGGTATACGCTGGGCCAGTCGTTTTGGCAACACTGGAAGATCGTAGCTATTTATAGTAGCTCTCTATTGGTGCTGTTGCTATGCCAAATGATACAAGTTCGCGGGGAGGGGAGAGTGGAAAATGGAGGGGGAAGAGATTAGTAAAGAACAATATGGCGTTAAACCGGATGTGTTCTCTACAAATCTATTCATTCTCTTCGTTATAATTTCACGATTCTTTGTCTGTCCAACATTTACCATCTTCAAATTATAATTTGCTTTTTGTTTTTAATAATAATGTATTTCTTTTTACATTCAATTTCTGCATTCAATTATGAAATCATAAGATCAAACATTACGTAATACAATGAAATATCGTATACACAAACACAATTAAATGAAATATGTTTGCTTTAATCAAGATAAGGTGTATGATGAGGTCATATACTTTATGTATGTTTCATGACAAAAAAATAAAGATGAATTTAAAAAATGAATATTTTATAGTGATGATAAAAAAAGACAATCAAAATATGCTCTATCATTTTTGTAAATATTTTTTGCGCAACTCGGTAGAATTGCATATGGCGCCGTGCACTTGTAGCAGCTGACAAGCATTCTAGTGTGTGTTTCCATAGTACACAAGCACGCATGCGACTTGCACGAAGTCGTCACCTCGGGAATGCTCGGCAAACTTCGTGAAACGGCCTCTTTGTTACATCATTCTTTAGCTCTTATATAGTACATAGGGGCGGGTATATTATATACTACGTTTGCACATATTTCCCTCCCAGCTCTCGCTCGCGTATATACAGTATATAGTTGCCTTTGCATATATGTGCCGGCGGAGCAAACGGGCGGGCGGTCGGAGGAGTGAGCTGGGCTCCGCGTTACACGAGGCGTAGAAATGTGACTCAACTTGAACGGACGCTAGAGTATGTAATGTATACATATTTTATCACATATAATTTCATAAATTAATAAAGCAAATATCAAAAGAACTATTTCAAATAAAATTTTCATAATTTTATTAAATTAAAATTTTTAATCAGCTAAATAATGTATATGCAAAAAAAGAAAGTATATATATATTTTTATTTATTATTTATTATATACAAATATTTCATAAGAAAAAAACTTTTAATAAAATAAATATTATACCCACCCAAATGTTTTGAAAGAAACAAAATTCGTTAAATTAAAATTTGCTTATATTTTTATCATTTTTGAAAATTAAAAAAGATGAAAATTTTAAAAAAATATTTTAATCACAATTTTTTTATATCCAATAATAACAACACAATAATAAATATAATAATAATAATAATAATAATAATAATAATAATAATAATAATAATAATAATATTTACATTTTTATTAATATTAATAATATTTACATTTTATTATGTATACTTGTGAATGTTAATAAATTTTTAATTATTTAAAAAAAATATAATCTCAGATAAATAATCGTTATATACCTATAATTGATTAACTGATAAACTTTCAATATTTCTTCATATTTAATTTTATTATTTTTTTATTTAATAAATAATAAATTTAGATATATATAGGAATCGCAAATTATGCCATGCTATAAACAATTTCTATAATTTTTCTATTTAAGGTTAGAATATAAAATATAATTTAATTTAGAGTTCCTATAAAAATTCTAACCTTAAATTATTAGAAAAATTGTAATTAAATCATTATCACAGAAAAATTGTTATCATAGTTATCATATTATAATAAAATAAGATTAATTAAATAGGTTAAGAAAAAAAACTTATGAACTCAATAATTAGAATATATATAATATTTTTTTTATTCTAAAATAAAATCGATACGTTTTTCACGTAATTTCATACATATGACAAAAAATAATGCTAATCATATAATTTGGTGATATAAAAATGTTTTTTATAACTTCTTATCCTAATCTCAATGTAATATATAAAGCTTAATTAATAGCTAATCTGTAAATAAGTGTACAATCATTATTATTTGATTGTATTTATATTTGTATAAAACATATATTTGTCCATAAATGATATATTTAACAATATCTTTCGTTAATATAAACAATTTTTTAACAATAGATGATATGCCTCAAGTTTCTCATAATATTTTATCTTTATGAAAGTTATATGGTTCTTTAATTTAAGTATTCATTATACAGTTTCTTTACAAAAAAAATATCTACGATATTACCAGGATCATCTTACCATTTGCTTTAAATAAACCGTGACGTCATCCTCTGCAAGCACACGCGGATAAAATGAAATGTGAATTAACATCCTTTTATTGATCATATATTGAAATGTATTGTAAATAAATTTTATCATTAACAATTTATTGTGCTTGTTAATATTAAATAGCTATAATCAATATATGTATATGTATATTTGCTGGAATATTTTTGCAAATATCAAGCATTATATATTATTAAATATTTTTTACTTAATTTCATACATTTAATATACAAATGTTCTAATATAGTAAATACAGTAATCAATAAACAACAATTTAAAAATAGTAAATTTCTTTCTCTATATTTGTTATTAATATTTTGATAATATCTAAAATTAGATATTATAATAAGATGTATTATATAAGATATAATATCGAAATATAATTTAAAAGCAAATTAAAAAATATGTATTCATTTGTACATATACAAACCTTAGACAGTAGATTATATAGGAATTAATAAATTTAAAATATTTTACATATTCAATATTCAATATTCAATATTCAATTCAAAAGATTATAATACATGTAATGTTTATAAATATTTGAAAAATGATTAAAAAACTTAAAAAGAAACAAAAAAAATTAATCAATTTTATTATCTATAAAAAAATATAATAGCAAAAAATCGCTGAAAAGTAATATGTCAAGTTTTGAGAAGATAGAATGTCTATTTAGATTCCACGTGTCGTTGTAGCAACGGTATATTGTCAACATGAAAGATGTATGTGTATATGTTCAGATGTTGACAGGTAGTCGTATTGAGGAACCACGTTTCGCCGGGTCTGCACGAGGCGCAGCTCGTAGAAAACAGAAAGCACGATGTGTACCTTCTAGGCACTGGGCACTGGTACAACATAGCGAGGGTAACGTGATTGGACGTGGTAGGAAATCAAGTGAGGAAACAACGAAAGATAAAGAGGGATAGAAAGAGAACCTAACGAGAGAGGAATACAGATAATAGAAAGAGAAAAAGAGATGGAGTATATAGAAGAGAGGGGGAAATGATACGCGCGAGTCTGCTGTCGCCGCCACCGCGACCGCCGCCGCCACCCATAACCTCAAAACTTACCTCTGTTGACTCGGGCTTCGACGATTTGTACGTCTTCGTCGACACTCCTGTCGGTCATCTTCTTCTTCTTCTCGTTAACCTGAATGTCCATGCACATAATTCCACAACACAAAACAACACTTCCGCCACACGGTCACGCTACCCCTACGTTCCCGTGACATTTACATTAAACTGTATGTGCGCGCGCGCAAAATTCACACTTACGGGGGGAAAGCGAAAGGGTCGTCGCACGAGGGCGCCGCGAAATGCGCCTTGCCTTAGAAATCTATTTCGTGTCTATACTTGACAATAAAGATACACGACAATGTGCACAGATAATCTTAAACAGATCGTATAGAACTGTTGTCGATTGCTCGTTTTATACGTATACGCAATTCTCTCGCGGCCCGCGTTTTCTGCTGTTTTGTGCGGAGGTGAACCGAGAGGCCGACCGGGTTCTGTCCAGATTTGAATGTGGTACACGTTGCCAGTTCTTTCTCGTACCCCCCTTCGTCCCCCTCCCACTCGTCCTTATGTACTTAACGGTTGCGACGTTGCCGCACATCCGGTACCAATAGTTAGGTAGTGGGGGAAGAGAATTTTGCAAAGGAGTGGGGGATGTACATAAGTACCTGACAACGCCATAGTGGGGACTTTAATGGGGAGGGGGTGAGCAGGGGGTATGTACATAGAGAAGGGGGCGGGGGTTGTTGCTCGGGAATGGGAATTTCCATGACGCTTCAGGGCAACAGCGACCGTTAGCTAGGTCACGTGGTTTTACCGGAAGTCGTAAGGGCGACGCGCCATGATGTGCGCGCCCTCTTTTTCCGTTTCAAATTTTAGTGTTTCCGGAAAATTTTTTTTTTTTTAAATGAAATTATCTTTGTTACAAAATATCACATTGTATTTTACATTTATTTTTTTATTCGGACATTTGTTATTTTTATTTGTAAATAGATTTACAACTGTTTCCTTTGAAATGTCAAGGACGAACTAGCGTGACATGAAATGTAACTATATACATCATTCATATTAGAAGCAATGTAAAGAAAACATAACAAAAACAAGAATAATATAAATAGTTTATGTAATGTTACTTCGTTGAAAACTATAGAAACTACAATTGTAAAAAATTTTTGGAAATGAGTACTTCAAAAAAAATGTAAATATTTTTAAAATTTTATAGAACTAGGTCCTTAAATGAATTTTCTGTAGTTTGGTGCAGTAAATAGATATATAAGTAGATATATATAAATTTCAATCTAAAGTTTTTTCAATAAAAGATATTTTTAATATCATGAAAAAAAATTATATTTAATTTATATATATATATATTTATTATTTATTTATATAAATCATAATAAAAAATATAGAAATAAATTTATCAAGAAAAATTTAATTAATAATGCGAAAATACTTCTATTTCATTGTTTTTTTTTTTAGTTTGGTTGGTTAGAATCTAATAGATTAGATTAGACTTAATAATTACTTCATGCAATATCTTTTTAATTTTTTCAATATCTCTTTAAAAAAGATTTTAATAAATATAAATATGTTGTAACTGTATATGGATAATATATTGCTAAAGAATACTATTTATATTAAAAAATTATTATAAAACTATTTATTTTTTCATAAATAAACATTATACATATATTAAATTATTTGAATAACATAGCATTTGTATTTGTTTCACAAAAATTTGAGGATTATTAATATATATAACTAATATTCTATAAATTTGAATTACTGAATTATGCATTGCTCTGATGCATCAGAACCACGTTGCGCGGACTCTTCAATATCTTTAGTAGCTAAAAGTCCTTTGGTACTTTCGGCTTCTTTCATCCAAAATTGTACCTGTCAATTAGTATAACATTATAAAATACATAAGAATATAATATACTTTATATATATATATATTTGCAAATATAATAAAATGTAATAAAAGCACAAATAAATGTTACAAGTATTCATAAAATTTAATTACGATATTACATCGAATTATTTGTTTCGCAATATTAATATTGTTCAATTGTTAGTTATTATGAAAAATATTATTTTAAAAGATTTAATGTACTAAAATAATAATCTAATTTATTAAAATAAAAATGATAACGCGTTTGTAAAAAAAATTTCTTTATACAAAAAAAGTTATACAAATTATTTAATAATAATATTTATTAAAAAAAAAAATAAATTAGATATATTTAAAAAGATATTGTAATTAAAGTTATCATTTTGATATATCATGAAATATCAAATAATATCTAATGATTATTTGTCATTTAATAAAAAGAAATATACAATCATTGATATTATTTTAATCATTGATTAAAATAACTATTATATTTAAATAATCATCATGTAAATTAGTAATTAAATGAATAATTCTGTATGTTTATTTTTCAAAATGTAAATATTATAATATTATATACATTAATATATAATATATAATATATAAATATAAAAAAATATAATATATGTATATAAATATAAAAAATTATTAAATATGTAAATATTAATATAAATATAAACATATAAAATAATTGATTTATTATTATCGATTTATTAAAAGAATTTTAATAGAATTTCGAATATGATTCACATAATTTCACGTATTTATATTTCAATTTATTATTATAATTTATTTTTTTAGTTATTTTATATATTATAAATCTTTGATCAATTGATTGAAAATTATTAAAAATATTTAATTCAAAAATGAACTATAATCAAAATATTATTCTAAAATAAAATAATGGAAAAAAAAATAATAAAAGATAACGGTATTAAATAATACTGAAAATAAAACATTATTAATTAAATAATAAATTTACTTTCAAATAGTAATTCGACATATTTAAGGCAATAAAAACATATTATATTACTATATTATTCTTAATATGACCTATATTAAGTAACCTATAAAAATAATTGATTATTTCATTATTTTGTTGTTTTTAAATCAAATATATTTTATATTTGCATAAAAAAAAGTAAAAAATATAAATAATAAATATTTTTACAAATCCATATATTAATTTAATGTATAAATATTAATTATATGTATAAATATAAATTTTTCCAACACTTAACTTGAAAATCGATTTAAAAAATGAATTAATTAATCATCACCTGTTTATGTAATAGATCTCTCCTCCGACCTGCTGGTTCTTTTCCTAACAGGGGTACCAATATCCCTAGACACAATTGAAATTTTTCTAATGCAAGTGCATAATTTCCTTCTGCAAGATATAATTCAGCAATTTCTCCTATTTCAAATGCATCCATCATACCAACTGTACTTTTGCTAAGTATTCCTATTGATAAATAAATATAATAATAATTTATTAACAAAAATTTTTTTAAGCTTAAAATCAATTAAATATATTTATCTATTATAAGAAATAATCATAAAATAATATTTCATATTAAACACGTTACTTCTATGTTTATATAAATTAACAGAAGAATTAAAACAATAATTTGTTCTTGACGCATAAGTAATATTAAGTAGTAATATCTAGTAGTAGTAAGACACGAATTCTATTCCATTTATCTTTCTTTGATTATATTGTTTTTTTTTTTTTTTTGAAACTCTTCCCAATTAGAATTCTATAATGATATATAATTATATTATATTTTTAATGAATTTTATGTTTTCTAATTTATATAAAAATTTTAATTATAATATAATTACAATTTTTATCTATTCTTATATTTTATTCTCAATATAATTTATGTTAAATAATTTTAATTAATTTTTTAATTTAATATAATAATTTTTTTTAACAAAAGAAATATTATTTTATGAATTCTCCCATATAAATTAAAGAATCAAAAAATATTATATAATACTTTATTAAAATAATTGCAGTATTATAAAAATTTTAATACAAACGCAGCTCATGATATGCGGATGATGATTTTTCATTTAAAGATATTCTTTGAATAGACGAAGAGCTTTCTTTATGATGCACATATTTACATTTATCTTTATCATCAATATTATCTATACACGATGCTTTCAATATTTCTGCTCTTTTAATGTAATCATTTATACGTAATCTTAAGCTTTCTTTTCGTTTTAAATCAGTCTCATCTAATAATACATAATTAAAATATAAATAATTATAAATAAATTATATCATATTTATTTTATTTCTATTATTTATAATATTTATTCTTACTTGTAACAATAGGTATAAAATATCTAAGAGCTTCACAGTATAAATGAAATGCTTCTTTTAAATTTTTCTCTGCATCCATTTTCACAGCGTTTTGAACTAACTCTATTGCCTTATCATAATTTTCCTTTGTTGGCGCATGAGCCAAATCCAGAAAATCATGACCGAAAAATTCATCGAACGTTATTCTCTTGTCAGGATCATGCTTCAATAAGGACATCAATAAATCCTTGCATTCATGTGATACGTGCGAACCTTTCGGTAACTATGGTTTCATGATATCAAGTCACAATTAAGAGAAAGGAATAAATAATTTTCAAATACAAAGAAACTTTAAATAAAAAAGAATACAAAAAAAAATTTTATAAAAAAAATTAATAAATCAAAAATAAAATTAAATAATTTTTAAAAAAATTTATTAATATATTTATTAATAAAAATACTATTGCGACATAAAAAATTTTTTTAAAGAAACTGTTTTTTTTTAATTTTTCTTTTCACTTTTAATTATTATAATGTATATTATAAATAATTTTTTATAAATTTTTTATAATTTTTTTCAAAAATATTTATTTTTTTAAATTATTGCAAAATCTATCAATTAGTAAATCAATGAAATTAAATATCTAATTTTCTTTTAATTAATTCATTTCATTTTACATATACAATACATACATATATAATAGATATAAAAAGTATATTAAAAATTTTTAACTTTATATTTGTTATATCTTTATGTTATCTTTAAAATTAGTATTTCGATAGATATATAAATATATTATCATCTTGCATTTGAATAAAATATTAACATAATTATAAATAGTTATATAATTATAACTAAATATATATTTTTAAAATTTTTTTATATCATTAAACTATATATAATTTGTGTATATATTTTATTTAATAGTTATATTATAAAGAATTTAATAAAAAAATTATAAGATTAGAAATTATAAATAAAAAATACAATTAATAATTTAATAATAAAAATTAATTCATCCGCAATTAAGATTTGAATATAATTGTCAAACATAAATCATTTTGAATAATTCGAAAATATTTATTTTAAGCATTATTCTTCCTCAAACAATTCCTTTTTTTCTAAGTATATTTATATTCCATAATTGAAGAACATATTTCTTTATAAAGTGTTATCAATTGATTATAATAATTATCTATCTGAAATCTTATTATGTTCATTTTTATGAACTGAAGATTTTATTGAAATACTATTTATCAATTATTAATGAATTTTAAAGCTTCGAAAAAAGATATAATAACGATAATAACGATAATATAAAGATATAATAACGATTATTTATAACAATCATGTACTCTTATTCGTATTTCTTATTCTATATCTATTTTTATATTATTGTTTATGTAATAAATAACTCATAATGTTTTTCCTTTTTTGTTTCAAAATAATAAATGATAAATATTTAAAGATTAATATTTTATATAAATACAATTAAAAAATGATTTATAATTATTACATTTTATATTGAATTATATTGAATATTTACATGAATTCCTTTTTATAAAAAAAAGAAAGTATAAAGAACTTATTGTTATACTTATTATTATATATTATTGTATTTATATTATATTTATATTATATTATATAATATTTATATTTATATTTTTTTATTATACAAATAATTAAATCAACAAATTTTTAAACAAGTTATTCATGAGAATCGATTAAAATTAGAACTTTTTTTGTCTATTTGTAAACATGTAAAATGACAACTTTAAAATAAATAATCTATTTATTTTAAAGAAAAAACATAAAAATATATAAACTAATATATAAACTATAAAATAAGATAAAAATAATATAATGAAAACAATTAATAAATGGAAGATGAAAATAAGTAGAAATATAATATGGTACAAATATGAAAGCAAAATATTACTTTACTTTTTCGATCTATTTATTCAATATATAAAAGAGATTAATGATGTGATCACCTCTATAGATCGACAGTCCTTGATCTTTTCAATTAATTCTTGAAAACTACCACTAGAGTATGGAGCTTTACCAAAAAGACATTCGTACATGATCACTCCGACGCTCCATAAATCAACGCGAGCATCGTACTTGCGCTTAAACAAAATTTCTGGTGCCATGTAAAGTGGAGAACCACGAATCGCAAATTTTTGCTCTGAATTTGAAAGATACTGAGCGAAACCAAAATCTAAAATAAAAGAAATCGTAAAATAAAAATCGTCGAGTACTTTAAGCGAATGAAGAAATTTAAACAAATTAAAAAAGAAAAAAAATCCAAAATATAAAACGAACCTCCAACTTTTAATGTTAATTGCGGTTTTCTCATTAGTAATAAGTTTTGTGGTTTTAAGTCCATATGGGAAACATTATTATTACGTAGATATCTCAAAGCAAGTGCGAGTTGTTGCAAAAATTTACGGCAAATTTGTTCGGGTAGCTTATGTCTCTTCTTTATAAAACTTGATAAGTCACCGCCATCACAGTATTCCATTACGATGTATATGTGCCTGCATTATGCTGAACGATAGATATGTTTTGGTACATGTTCAAAATAATTGGAGGAAATCTTAATCCCCTAATTGTTTTGAACAATAATTGCAAATAATTTATTATTGAATTTAATAATAATTATGAATGACCATTAAAAAAATTGAATGACAAACATTGGAACTGTTTACGAATATTTATAAAGCGTTAAAGATTGAATAAAAATCTTTGAATTGTTAGTAAAACTCGCTTCTATCAAATCAATCGAAGAATAAAAATATTAATATAAATTTGATAATTTATTATTTTTTTTCATATCAGATAATATTATATATAAATAAAGCTTAATCCTGTAATTTCTTTCATATCATAAATAAGTATGATAGTTTTGGTATTCATAGTCCTTTTTACAATGGAATCGACATTTAATGGACTAACCCTTCATCCCAAAAAAAATCCCTCATTTCGACGATATTTTCATGACGCAATATTTTTAGTAGATAGATTTCTGTGACGATGTTATCAATAGCTGACTTGGAGAGCGACGATTTGTCTACACATTTGATTGCAACTATCTCTCGGCATCCATCCTATAAACGACCAACAATAGCATAGCATTAGACTCGCCTTGAGATAAGACTGTTTTCAAGTGTCAACGTGACTATCTTTTTCTGGCTACTTCTCAATTCTACATTAATATATTTGACACAATTCAAGTTCAATCATTGAATTATATTAAAATAAGTTGCTTGATTTAATGATCTGTTAAATAACGCGATATTTTCTCTCTGAATACAAGTGCACAGATTAGTGATTCGAGTACAAATATGTGGTAATCATATTAATGGTGTAAATAATAATTTTTTTGAAATCATAAAATTTATTTATTAATTAGAATAGATAGAGAATATTCTTGTTTCTTTCTATTATCTTTCTTTGTTCTTTTTTTTATTAAAAAATAGATATATCATAAAAAAGTATAAAAAATATAAAAAAGTGTGAATAATTGAAATTACTTTTATTTTATTAAAATTAAATTAAAATTTATACAATATGTTATATAAATAAGTTGCATATTAAATTGCATGTGTATTAAATGTATTTTTATATTTTTTTCTTTTTTTTTATATATATATATAAGTAACTTGCAAATATATTAACATTGATTGATTTTAGAAAGAACTAATCTTTTCTAAGATTAATTTCAGGTAAATTCATTAAATTTTTATTCTCTTTATATTCATGATTTTAAATGCTTTAATTGTATATCATATACTAAATTTTAAACTAAAATTTCACGATAATTAATTAATTAACTTTTCATTAAATTTAACTTAATTAAAATCTATCAAAAATTAAATTCTAATACATAATCAGTATGAACAAATGATTAAAAGTTATAAAATTCACAAAAATATTAAAAATGAGATATATCATAATATTTTGCTATTTATTTAGAAAAAAACATATACTAATATGTACATAACTATCTATATAATAAATATCTGTCATGTTATAAAATCATTAGATATATAAATAAGAAAATATATGATGTTATGTATATCTTTTATTTTAAAAGATAAATTTATTAATTTGAAAAAATAATGTTCACTTTTTAATATAATAATATATAATAATATAATATTTATAATTAATAATAAATATAATATATAATATAATAATAAAGATATTCTTAATTTTAAAATATTTTAAAATATTCTAAGTAATCTAAAATATTCAAAATTAATAGCAAATTTGTAATTTTATATGTATTAATAGAAGAAAATTAATAGAAAATTAATAAAAGAAAAAAATAAAAAATAAAAAACTATACATGTTTTAAATTACACTGAATATATGTAAATTATGGTACCTGTTAACCTAGTTACGACACTGTTATCATATGATTTGTATATATTCTCACCACTCATAAATATACGTACCTTTTTAAACGCTTTGTAGACAGTCGCATAACTTCCTGAGCCGATTTTTTCTAACAAAGAATAATCACTTACACTGGGTAAATTCATTTTACCCGTTAATTATATAATTCAGTTCGACATTTATCTCGAATATCACAACACTTGGGGTTAACTTGACAGAATACCGTGAACTTCTTCACTTATCGTTTGTAAAAACATTGGCGTAGTATAATTCAAAAATTTAAATCTATTAAACTGAAATCAATTTTATTAACTCATCTTTACGAATATATAAAAGATAAGAAATTTAATAAGTCGTATTTAATTATTTTATATAATAAATATATATATATTATATTCAATTTAGAAATTAAATATAATTTTTTGAACAACTTTTTATTACTTTTATTTAATAATTCTATTCTATTCTATTATTTTATTTAATAATTTTTATGTGATAAATAGATTATATTTTGAATATTTTAAAATTATATGCATATAATTTTTTATAAAATTTATTTCTGTTAGTTTTTCTGGATTAATTATTTATTTTTCCATGTCAAATTAAAAGAAATTTTATTAAGAAATAATTTTGATTTGAAGTATTTTTTTGAAAATAGATTTTAAAATTATATATAATTTGTAATGTTAATTTTTTCTTTTTATAGAGAGACGCCCATGTGTGTCAGCTGTGCATCACATAAAGAGCTTACTTCATGTAGTTGACTAAAGTCAGTAAAACGACACTTGGCGACGAGACATTTCGTTGTCGCGTCCCTCTTAGATTTTCAGTTTCTCGGATAGTATTGCGTGAAATTTTGTGTCTATTCTTGTCCATCAACCAACTAACCTTAAGTTTCAACAGCGAGCGCAAAAAAAAATAACAACGTATTTGATTCGATTGTAGAAGAAAAAGTCATCACACGTACTGCTATGGACGTGACAGCAGTGTTCGAGCTATAAGCTCGTCTCTTCTTTCATGGCAAGCGGTGCATTTTAGATTAATTTATGGTTTTACCCGATTAGCCTACTGATTTGGTGACTTGTCAAGTGCAATGGCTGAAAAGATTATCGTGCATGGTAATACATCTTGTAAATTTGTGATGTGTTTGAAAATTGATAAATATTTAGCAATCGCGTAAAGTGTATTTGGTGTTTCGTGTTCATTAAAATTGTTAATTGGAGTCTAATGTTACTAGTTTTCTTATATTAAACGAAATCGAAACGATATCAAAATAAATTTTCCTTAATTAGTTTTCTAATATTCTTAGAAAAAATATAATTATTCAATTATAGTCATTAAATACATGATGATATCATACGGAACAATCTTACTTCTATGTAACTTTTCATTTTTATAAATTTTTAATAAGTTATCAGAAATGGAATATTCTGTTCGTCACAAATATGAACAAGGTATTTCATGATTTCATTTATTAATATAATCATTTATATATATTTTCTTAAATATTACTAATTATTAAAAAAAGTTAAGACATTTCTGTGGAAATAAAAAGTCGTTACTATTAATAAAGACTAAATCTAAGATATTGAAGATCCCAAAAAATTTTTTTTTTAATTTGATATATAAAATTTTTATCAAAATAAAATTATACTTTGGCAAATATTTATATTAAATTAATTTGATTTTATTATATATATATAATTATATTAATTAATTAAATACTATTTTAATTATAATATAAAGCATGAAATTTTTATATATAAAATTAATGGGTTCTAAAACGAAGCATTAATAGAAACCAAAGAACAATATGAAATATCAATTCAATAAACACAGGATACTATTGGATAAAATGTATATAGAAGTCTTCTGATTGGCTAACAACACGGTAGCTCATTCATCCTTTCTCCGTGAAAATAGTATTCAGTATATCAGTTGCCGGAGTTCAACTCGGATGTTTTGGCAGCTGATTTTATTTCTTGCTTACGTCGATGGTAAAAATATTTTGAAGTTTTAACTATTCATACTATTTGGGGAATCGCTTAGTGTCGTGAATGAAATTTTGTGAAATACTATTGATAGTAAGTAAATAGAAATGTACAGTAAAGTTTCTTGCTTTATTCGGGAAGTAGCGAACGATGACGTCATGTGTTGAGCATAAGCTGTTTTCACCTTGTTCCGCTACAACAGTATTTCGCGGGTGCAGGTGTAATACATTTCTTTTCCTATTGAAATTATATCGAAATTTATTGAGTATCAAAACAAAAAAAAATATTCACATTGATCTCTTATTTCTTTCATAATTCTTAGGCGCATATGAAGACTACATTAAAAAAATGTGTCAGTGTACTGTTTTTACCTAATTATGATATTTGTGTAATAATTTGATTGTTTTTGAGTATATAATGATGTATATAATGTAATGGAAAAAATCAAATATATAAATCACAAAGGACATTTAAAAAAATTTATAATACTAGATATAATACTTATATTCCTTGATTGTTTTTTTATACAGGTGCAAAATATATAAAATAAACGGATATATATTAGTGTTTTGATTACTTAATAAACTAAAAGATTTACAATGGATTCTGAAGAGGAAACATATGATGATGTTGATTCTGGCAATGAATCTAGTGGAGATGATGTGGATTTTGCAATGGAAATTGAAGCTGGAAATCCAAGAGAACGATCAACAGATGTTGATGATTATCCTTTTGAAGTTTTATCAACAGAAGAAATAGTGCAACATATGGTTGATTCTATTAAGGAAGTTAATACAGTTGTAGAAGTATGTTGAAAACAATTTATTTTATAAAATAATCTAATCATTTAATTAAAATATAAAAAAAATATATGTATATAATACACATATTTTTCTTTAATTTAAACAAAGAAAATAATTATTATAATTAAAACATTGTATTAATTATAGATACCAGCTACAACTACACGTATTTTATTAAATCATTTTAAGTGGGATAAAGAAAAATTAATGGAACGCTTTTATGATGGTGATCAGGAAAAATTATTTGCTGAAGCACGAGTTGTTAATCCATTTAGAAAGGGTCCATTAATAAATAGAAATCAATCTTCTCAAAGCTCATTGGTAAATAAGATTTTATATTATTTAGTTATAAAATATAAAAATTATATAAAAAATAAATGATATAGATATATATTAACAATATATATATAAAATTTTTAGTCCAGAAGAACTTCAACAAATGGTACTGAAGAATGTGGAATTTGTTTTACGATTCAACCATCTGCAGTATGTATATAAATATACATAATATATAAAATATTATCATATGAAATTAATCATAATTTACAGTACAATATTAAAAATATATTTTTTCATATTATTTAATACAATTAAAAAAATTTAGATGATGACTGGACTTGAATGTGGACATCGTTTTTGTACTGGCTGTTGGGGAGAATATCTTACAACAAAAATTATGGAAGAAGGAGTTGGTCAAACAATTGCATGTGCAGCACATGCTTGTGACATTTTAGTTGATGATGCTAGTGTTATGCGTCTTGTAAAAGACTCTAAAGTGAAACTGAAATATCAACATTTAATAACAAATAGTTTTGTTGAAGTAAATATTATTTTGTCTGTTTTTATTTTATTATAGATTTTATATTAATATTATTTATTATTTTATTTTATAGTGTAATAGGTTATTGAGGTGGTGTCCATCTCCAGATTGTAATAATGCTATAAAAGTACAGTATGTAGAAGCAAGACCAGTAACTTGTAAATGTGGGCATACATTCTGTTTCCATTGTGGAGAAAATTGGCATGATCCTGTAAAATGTCACTTATTACGTAAATGGATTAAAAAATGTGATGATGATTCTGAAACATCAAATTGGATTGCTGCAAATACAAAAGAATGTCCAAAATGTAATGTTACTATTGAAAAAGATGGTGGATGCAATCATATGGTGTGTAAAAATCAAAATTGTAAAACTGATTTTTGTTGGGTATGTCTTGGACCTTGGGAACCACATGGTTCTAGTTGGTATAATTGTAATCGTTATGATGAAGAAGAGGCTAAAGCAGCAAGAGATGCTCAAGAAAAATCTCGATCTGCATTACAAAGATATCTATTTTATTGCAATAGATATATAAATCATATGCAATCATTAAAATTCGAAAATAAACTTTATGCAAGTGTGAAAGAAAAAATGGAAGAAATGCAACAACATAACATGTCATGGATTGAGGTAATATTATAATTAATTATATATTATATAATTATATAATTATAATTATATTAATTAATTAAATTATATTATTAATTAAATTAAAAAATAAAAATAAAATAGAAATAAAATAAAATAAAATACAAAATATTAATTATTTATAAGTAATTGCAAAACAACATTTTATAAAAAAATTATTTTTAGGTACAATTTTTAAAGAAAGCAGTAGACATTTTGTGTTCCTGTAGACAGACTCTTATGTATACTTATGTTTTTGCTTATTATGTGCGAAAAAATAACCAATCTGTGATTTTTGAGGATAACCAAAAGGATCTAGAGGGTACTACAGAACGTCTCTCTGAATATCTTGAACGAGATATTACAAGTGAAAATCTTGCTGATATTAAACAAAAAGTTCAAGATAAATATAGGTAAATTATTAATTATTTATTCTTTTTTCTTGTTGTAAATATAATACATTAACAAATGTATAATTAAGAATTAAATTTAAAAATATATAAATACTATATAATACTATAAATAAATATATATATAAATAATATAAATACAAAATATAATATAAATACTATATAATACTAAATATATATTATTTTTATTTTAAGATATTGCGATAGTCGAAGAAAAGTGCTTTTGGAACATGTACATGAAGGTTACGAAAAAGATTGGTGGGATTACGTCGAATAGAAATCTAAACCAACTTCGTTTTTCGGGCATGCAAGACAAGATTTCTCTCTTGATACTTTTGCCCTACCTGTGATAAATCAAGAAAGCTGACAGGAAATAAAAATAGAGCATGTCACCAAGTGATTTACGTGTTAGATATACTTTAAATGTAATATGATCTGTGGCAGCACATATATCGTTATGAATTTTTAAATTTATTAAAATTGAATCCTATTACCATCAGGCTAAATGTAAAATACTTCCGTATTAATTAATGATACTAATTTGCGCTTGCTGTGTGCTATTTATCGTTACATGTTTCGATCCTTCATAAACATGCCTTGCAATAATATTTTCAAGTTTCGAATGAATTTTATATATAAACATGTCGGATGATAAACGGTGGTAAAGAAATCGAACAGTGTGTTGCTGTACTAAACAAAAATTTATCAAAAATTTGCTTAATATATTTTAATGCCATAGTATAATAATACATTATACCTTTTCATATTACTATAAGATTCTCTAGAAAAGTATTATTTAGTCTATGGATAAAAACTTTTCAAGAGTTCTATGAATAGTACATGAAAAGGCTAATATAGAACTAGACCTTAATCTGTCTTTTATTGTCAGTCCTGTGCACTCGATTTATAAGGGAATAATTGAATATAACAAGATACTGGTGCAGATAATATTCATAACATGTCTTACCATTTTTGCTCTGTTTTGGACAGTAATACGTCCAGGCTATAACTGCCAATCTTTATGAAAAACTGAATTAAAATGATCATGTCGTCAGTATCGTGTGCAATATCTAAATCAAATTATATTTCTTTTACTCTTACTTTGTTTTTCTCTACATATTATTTGAATAAAATCTTTAAATTTTATTCAAAATATTTTATGTATCTGTAAAAAAATTAAAAAGTGAAAATTGTTTTAAAAGTATAAAAATAAAGATATTTAAAATATTAATAAATTAAAACAATATTTTCTTGCTATTAGTTACTAAAGTCAAGCATGCAAAATATTAAAAGGGTCCAATATTCAAAACTTCATAATGTACATTATTTAATTTTGATATATTGAATGATAAGAAATTGAATTTATTAATATTATGTATACTTGAATCATTTTTAAAGATATAGAAATATCGAATATGTTTGTTCATTTCTTTGTTTAAAATATAAAAAAGGATTGATTTTTATTTTTTATATAATTGTTGTTTCTTGAAAAGTTTATTTCATGTTCGGTAGAGATATTGTCATAATGCTGACGATATGTTTGATATGTCATTAATCAAATAATTAATGATTAATGATTGTGATATGATGATCACTTGCTGTTATATAAGTGGGGAACGAAATGAGTTCCATTTGTACAGTTATATAGTTATATATTCACACGTAAATGCATAATACATACTTATATAAATAGTTGTAATATCAATATTAGCAAACTTAAAGTAGAAACATTTGAAGTTTTATTAAAAAGAAATTGTTGATTCTTATTATTATCCATGTTAGGTATAAAAATTAAAAAAAAAAAAAAAAGAAAAAAGAAGAAAAGACAATTGTTTTCTGTACAGTCACAAGATCTGAATAGAAGTAAGAATATTGTTAGATATATTCATAACAAATTATTTTTGAGTTCATGATTTTGTATTGTATGTTCATGTGATGCATAAAATTATAAACAATAGCGAAAAAATTATCTTTTTTTTTATATATCAAACATAAAAAATATTTTAACAAGTTTAAACAATTTTGTGTGAAATATCGATTATCGATATTATAATTCCTTCAAATCACCATGTATTTATTAAGATTTGTGCGATAAATTTGAGTAGTTGATGTTTTAATTATTAAACATATCCCAAAAAAATAATGACTTTAGACAGTGCTAAAACTTCAATAAACAAGAATTTGATAAAAGTAATGGTATTACTCGAGAAGCGAATTTTTGATTTAGAAATTTTTAATAATTTCTAATAATTGATGATATGTATAAAGAAATTGCGTAAAATATTTTATTAACAAAATTATGTTTAATTTGCCAATCTAAATGGTATATTTTACACTCGAATTATATTATTTATATTATTTAAAAAACAAAGAATACAGAATATATTATAGATACTCTTTCACACATGCAATTATACTAATCATGTATTTTAGAAATTTTTGTGGTTTGAACTTACATTCTGATATCAAGTAATAAATCAATATATTTTGAGTAGTACGTAGATTGTATTTACGTTTGAATAAGTATGCTATTTTAAATAAAATAATACATAACACATATAAACAAATATATTTAAAAATATAATTGTTTTAAAATTAACAGTGACCTTATTTAATATCTACTTATTATTTTTTAAATATATTAGAATTTTATATTTTTTATGATATATTTTATATTATATAATATTGATAGCACTTATTATGTATTATCGAGTAATACTAATATTAATATGATTATTAAGTCCATTAAAGCATGAAAATCCTTAATGGCAATCTTTGACTGAATAATTTATTATAAAAATCAGCTACTTGGATTTAAACATCTAGCCTCCTTTGCATTTGCTAATGTTTTATATTTAAAAAATTGGAAATATAACAACTATTAGATATCTTATTCTTTCATACAAAATATGCTATCAAATACTTATGTATTATACATATATAAAATATTGAATTTATCACATTTTGATGATTTTCTTATTATAGGTTTAAAAAATAATTGATGAAACTAACAAAACTGAGGTTTCGTGAAAATGTTTATTATTTCTGAATATTTGTATAAAAATGTTCGCTATATCATTAGAATCTATCATTGTTGTTTAAAAATGTTATTATATATTTAATAAGAATTGTTATTTTAATTCTTTCAATAAGTTTAAACTTTCAATAAGTTCTAAGCATAGATTATGATGATCTTTGATTGATAAGAAAATTCATTAATATATTTTCTACCTAAAATAAATTATAAATAAATACATTTAGATTGTTTCTACCTAAATTCAATAGAATTTTGAGATTTTTGTTTGATATAAATATCTGAAACTTCAATTTTGAGTATTAAGAAATTACTTTGATAAAATTTCTAAATTAATATTAAATAATTTTTTTCTTTAATTTAATCTCTAATCCATCGAGCTGCAGTTGTTACAAAATATGAATATAATAGGAAACTTGTATCATTATCATTTGCTTATGTTACATATCTGTTGGAGTTATATAAAAAATGGGATGATTCTGAAACTGAATGACATTGATATGAAAATTGTGCAGACTGCAAATTGAAACTTAATTTACATCCTGTACTTATTATAAGTTGTCTTTCAAATCACACAATTTCACTTTTTGTGCCAATATTAAACCATTATGTAAGCTTCCAGAAATTATTTTTAAAACTATTTTGGTAAAATATAAGTACACTGGAAGATCTTACACAAAATATATTTTTTGTAAATTAATTTTTAAGGGTATATCAGGAGGTCACTGTTAAAATAGTTGCAACCAAACCAAGTGTAGCACCTGTCATTATAAGACTTCTCCAAATTGCTCCACTTATTTCTTCTGCCACAGGATATTCTATACACAGTTGCTCCTAAAGAAATATAATACATGCATATGTCAATGTAAAAAGTAAATTATTTGTTTATGTGTCCAAAACATAATTTCTATGTATTCATATTTTTTACATTAGAAAACAGTATTTACCCATCCTCCATATCCTTTGATAAAATGTGCAACCTTTTCACCAATAAATCTGGAGACATATAGTGGTAATTTTTTCTTTAAAGCGTGCATTCGTCTATCCCGAGCCCAAAGAGCGAGTCTACCCATAAATGCATATAGACAAACGATTCTTGCCCATGTAACTCCACCATGTAAAAACAGCTCATCCGCAACTCCCATGAATGCTTCGTACGCCGTATCCGGTACAACATTCAAACGATTTACCATACTCGCGAATAGAATACTATGCTTGTTCAACATTTGATACACATTGTGTCTCATACTACGGGAAACTGGATCTCGAGATATAAGATAAATATCTTCCTTAAGTAGGTACCGTATTACATCATTCGCCAAACATTCTGCCGTAAGCTCTATGGAATCTTCACAAAGTCTATACCGTGAAGATGAAATCAATTGCGGGAAAAGATGTTGCAATCGAATCTGAAAAAAACGATTTTTTTAATACAAAGTAATAATAATCTTTTGAAGAAAAAAGAAAATATATATATATATATGATATGTGAAACGGGAATAATGTAATTGAACGATTAACGGTGCTTCGTTCTCATTATTTGAAATATTGAATATAAATGTTTTTCTATATCAACAATATTGTTATTGATATAACATTGAAATGATAAACAATGAAACATTAAGAAATAACAAGATTTTTGAAATTTAATTTTCGTTAACGTATTGATTTTCACTGAAATGAGACAATAGCTTTCACTTGAATAAGAAAAAGAAAAATGAAATATGCGCAAAAGAGAAAAGCGCGAAAAATCGACAGAACAGAAAAAAATGAATACAGAATTCACTGACAACTGTAAATTAAATTAAAAAGAACATAATGCCGGTATTCATATATTGTTACCTGACAAACTTCGATAAAGGACATAGCGGTATTGACAGTGCTGAGAGCATATCGGCATAAAGCGCCGTTATCGCCGGCAATCACGGTTTCAACGCCTCCGCTGTTGTTACAGTCGTCGGCAATCATAGTTTCACCGCTTCCGTCGGCGCAGTCGTCGTTGTTACAGACTCGCTCGCTCGGCGAATTCTTGTTACCGGGGGGATCGCATTCCAGGATGCCGCCCACTCTGGAATGCGGTTCCCCCCGCACTGACGCACCCTGCCCCTCTCCGTCTGTACTGAGGATCTCATTGTTCGGCGATGCATCGTCGTCGCCGGCCATCCTCGTGCACGACCGCCCGCACTGATCTCTTTGAGACACCGGTCGAAACACCGCGACTCTCACTAGATCAGATAGTCGTACACTACACAATTTTTGCAAATTAAAATTCTTTTTTTAAAACATCTTGCAGCTTGTCTTCGTGAGTCTAGTGAACTGCCGATCGCACGCTCGAAGCGCCGGGTTAACGAGCGCTACACACGAAAAACTTTGGCTCGCCTGCCAGACGACGTAACGCTCTCTACTTTCCCGCGGCCATTTCCGAAGCCGAACCTTTAACCGCACCCCACTTCTCTGTCTGCTATATCCCCACTTTGTCTTTTCTTTTCCCACCGCTTCACTACTATTCCATTCCCTTCCATCTGTATATTACATTCTATGGACTAACACAAGTCTTTTCGAGAGACACACAACTGTATCGGCTTCTATGGATCATTCACGTTTTCTCCCCACCATTGACCATTGGCGTATTCCGGCACGCGGTTCACACTATTATACGTTGCCCTATACGACCTCATAAGACACCTACGTTTAACTATACTATCCACCTTATATTTGTATGCGCGACTGAACTATCTCCTTTCCATCTCCACCTTCGTTTCTATCCTCTCTTCTTCCTCCTCTCTTTACTCTCCTTCTCAGTGAGGCGCCGTCGATAGTCTCCCTCCCCTCAAAGAGTGCTCTCGCGCACGTGCACGGTCACAAGCGCGAATACCTGTGTGTGCTCTGAGAATCGAACGAACGGAATTTTCGATGGAACGCGGAGTTCGCTTGGTATCAAGCACCGTTCCCAGTTATATTCTTGCTATATTATTCAAGTGAACTATTTGTTGAATGATTCATTATAATTATATCTATAATTAGTTTAAGATATTTTTTATAATAAGAAAATTTATTTATTATATTCTAAGGATATGTTAATAGTAAATATATATGTTATATATGTTAATAGTGATTTATAGTTACAATTAATACATTATGATAATATAATATTAATAATGAATTAAATTTTATAGTATTATAATGTAATCATTAATATTTTAAATTTAATTGCATTGTTTTTTCTAAAACATTGCATTTTTTTTTCTAAAATTTAAAATAATTTATATTTATAAAATATATCAATTATTTACAATTATTTATATATATTTATTAACAAATATATATAGTTTAATATCAATTATTTAAATATTATAAGATAACATATTTGAATATGATATATAATAATAGCTTTGTTTAATTTCATTGAAGAATAAAAATAATGGAAGTCATGCATTGATTTCAAGAAATTGCAACATTTATAACGATCACCGCATGCCGCTGTACTCAGTGAAAGCCACGTCACAGTTGCTAACCTAAAGGTGACGTAGAAATTATCGGAGATGACGATAGTATTCCAATAATTGGCAGTTTCCCATTTCATTGACGCTTCCTGTTATTATAACTTTCTCTTATATGATTGTATGAATTATAATTAATATTGTTAATATTGTAATTGATATCACAATTAATATTGTTTGTCTATATTTTATAGAATTCTTAGAAGATAATTTTGTCTTCAAGCTTCTTTTATATTAGAATATTACAATATTATAATATAATTAGATGTTTTATAAATATTGTTTATAATATTAAATAATATATAATATTTCCTATTTATAAAAAAGCCAAATTTAATCATTTTTCATTTTTATTACATATGTTATAAAAAATTTAAAATTTGAAATGAATTATAAATTTTAGATTAAATATATTTTCATTAGCCTAATTATAAAATTTCTATTGGTATATAATATAATTGTTTATATGAAACTTCTTGAAAGGATACAAACCATATGGGAAGATGTTCGTATAAGAAGATATTCAATTCATATGTAAGTACGATTCTTATTTGGGATGCTGCAGAATGTAGTGGTAGTTATGATGTATTTCTGAGAAGGAATTATTATGTTGAAACTGGTCGGCACGCCGGCTGACTCTGATCGGTGGCGCGCGACCGTGCCCGCTCTTTTCTGCTGTGCAACCTTCAAAGGCCACAGAATGTCGATGAATGAAGTAGGAAAGTTGCAGAGTGGCGGCCGACCGGATGTGTATACTAGGTGGCCAAGAAAATGAGAGCTCCTACGTCATTCGACGACGAACTAGTTTTGCGCCCCTTCTCAATGATGTGACGCTGATAGACATACTATCAATAATTATCGTTCTATT